GGTTGGGATTTAAAGGCAGTTAAAAGTTTTTATTGGCCAGAGTGCCTAGGTGGCTCAGTTGGTTGAGTGTCTGACTCTTGATTTTGGTTCAGGTCATGATCCCAGGGCTGTGGCACTTGGCTCTGCATGGGGCTCCATGCTAAGCATGGGGCTCCATGCTAAGCATGCAGCCTGCTTAAGATCCTCTCTCCCTCTGCCCCTCTCCCTTGCCCTCTCTTTAAAAAAAAAAAAAAATCACTTGGTTGTATTTCACTATGCCAAGTACTCAGAGTTTAAGTGTTCCACAAATGTTGCTGAATTAAAGTGAGAAGGAACAGAAACAATAGAAGGCCAGCAAAGGGATGAAAGACTGGAACTCTAATCTGTTTAGGGAAAGGAATACAGAAAAGGACAAAATTTTCATCTGTAGGCAACAGTCTGGTGGGATAGGATTAGGGAAGACTTGAGAAAAAGTATAATTGTTTTGGTTCTTTAAGGTTTAGTGGCATTTTAGAGATGTACTAAAGTAAGGGCTAGCCTCAATATTCCCCCTTGTGCCTGAATCTACTGAAATCAGAAATGTGGGGACTATACATTATGGCTACACAGCTAAGTGTGAAAATCACTGAGGCCAAGACTGAATATCACCATTATAGAATGAATTTCCAGGATGCAGTTTGATCTAGCACCACATTTGTCTGCTGCTAGACAATCAAATCCCTGAACCATGTTCAGAGAAAAGCACAAGGTATATTCAAGAGTATTTAGGTAGTCCAGACTGGCTACAGCACAGAATATATAAAAGGATTAGAAAGAAGCTGTATATATTAAAGACCAGACTAAGAACGTTCTGGTAAGCATATTAACTTTGTCCTGCAGGTAAAAGTAGGCACTAAAAACTGCAGTTTGCATAAGGAATTTTATCAGGGGTTCTATTTATTTTACTATGGCTACAAAGATCTACAAAGCACATATTGAAAGTGAAAGGGAGGAATGGCAAAACCCTAAAAGCTAAAAGGTGAAGTGCAAAGTTTATATTGTGGGCAGGCCACTTAGGGGACAGGTCTTTTTTCTGTTCCTCAGTTTTCTCATCCATAAAATGGGCTTAAAATAATAGTATACTTAACTGACTAGATTATTGTGGAAATTAAGGGAAATCATTAGGTAAATTGCTGAGAACCAATATGTTATACAGAAAATCTATAATAAACAGTAGCTCTATTTCTACTAGAGACTAGCCTAGCCCTGTGGGCTAGGGAAACAAAATTTTTCCACATTATGAAATCTGGCAGTGAATTCTAGGACTACAGCAAAACACTAACAGGTGTAAAATTCTGCTTTAAGAAGCTATTTAAAACTGGTGGGAAAGGTGTGGGAGTTGGGAAAGACCTTCTGAAAATACCAGGGCAGAAATGAAATGTTCTTACTTAGGAATATCTAGAAATCTTTCCTAAGATCTCATAGTTCGCTTCTGACATGAAATATTTATTAAACTGTTTATGTGTTCAAAATGTACAAAATTTTCAGCTCTTAAGAATGTCAAAGTTTATTACAGGCTAGCTTAAAAATGGATTTTTTGCGGGGGATGCCTGGGTGGCTCAGTCAGTTAAGGGTCCGACTTCAGCTCAGGTCATGATCTTGGAGTTTGCAAATTCGAGTCCTGCATCAAGCTCTCGACTGTCAGTGTGGAGCCTGCTTTGGATCCTCTGTACTCCTTCTCTCTGCCCCTCCCCAACTTGTGTACATGTTCTCTCTCAAAAATAAACAAACATTTAAAAAAATCATTTAAAAAATGGATTTTTTGTGTGTGTGGAGGAGACAATGGGAAGGTTTATTTACTTTCTGTGAAAATGGAATAAAATGGTTTTTAAGTTTTGATGCTTAAAAAAAAAGTACGTACCTAATGAGGTCTTTCAGAGAGGGTATTATTATATTCTTACCTGTCTACCTATTCTCATAATATAACACAGTTTTTAATGTGTTTCTAGAAAGAGTATAAAATTTGAGCCAAGAAACTATACTAACTTCCCCGTTATTATAGCTTTGTGACCTCGAGGATATTAATTTCTCTAATCCTTAGATTCTTTCTAATAAAAATGGGGCTACAGTTGTGACGTTCAACTTATTATTATTATACCTTCGAAAATAATTAGAAAAAAGTTATGTTAGGAATTTCCTTGAAAGGTTATGTGTGAAATCATTCCCTCTAGACCAGTGATTCTTGATACCTACCATGCATCAGAATTACCTGGGAAACTAAAAACAAAACCAGATGTTTGGGTCCTACCGCCAAAAATAGATTTAACTAATTTGGGGTTGGACTGGGCCCTTACCATTCATTAAAAGATCTCTGGATGATTCTAATGTGCAGCAATGGTTAAAGACCAATGCTGTAATACTAATTTGTAAGGAGTGTGAAGTAATCATCAAATAAAGCAAGAAAGAAGCTAATACTGAGTGGCTACTTTGTAGAATCTTCATGTTTTCTCATTTTAATATCTTCCTATGAGGAACATATTAGTGTCCTCATTTTATAGAAATCTAAGGCTGAAGAGAGAATTTACAATAACCAAATAAAATAGCAGAGCCAAGACTCCGAAATTCGTATTTTTTTCTACTACCTTATGTTTCCTAGTATAAATAGAAGTCTCTTCTATATGGAAAAGCATTGTGGAAAGGCCTGTGTGAAGAAACAGCTAACAATCCTGAGTAAGAGGAGTTTGCTTTGTGAAATACTATTATTACACACAAATCACAGACATAAAAACTTAATCCATTTTCAAGGACTTAAA